TGCTAGTAGGTTGGAGGCCATGGCTATCAGGTTGGAGGCCATCGCTACTAGATTGGAGGCCATCGCTACGAGGTTGGAGGCCATCGCTAGTAGGTTGGAGGCCATCGCCATTAGGTTGGAGGCCATCGCTAGTAGGTTGGAGGCCTTCGCTTGTATTTACACCGCAGGTCTGTCTTGTGTGATGGACCACGTCATGTGGCATGGCTGGAACGTCTCTATGCCAGCGCCTTTATGTGTTTTCGCTGCACAAGCTGCTCTGCCGCTCTTTACTCAGGCTGGAGTAGTGTCGGCTGGGAACCGAGCAGCGTGGTCCGTATTCCAACCAAACTTTGGACGAAATGCTAAGTCTCAATCATCTACTGAGGATTTTGCTAAAAGCAAGCAAGTCACCACATTCAATGTACAGGCTGGATACCATTTGTGGATTGGGTTGTGGCAAACAAAGATTGTCAGATGACAGTTCAGACCAGTTCATGATATATGCAGTTTTTAAAGTTTTTTGTACATGGTTCGGTAAACCACCTATAGTCTCAAACACCAGATGTTTGCAGTCAGATCAGTCAGCATTCCTCCACGACCTTGACCCATAATTTCAATGATTTCAATGTGCAGGATTCAATACCCAGCTCGCTGGCAGAAGTGCAGTAGCCGTGGCAATAGCACAGGCATGACAAAGAGTTCAGCAGCCGGAAGGCAGATAGAAGGATTTGCGCATGATTTGCTGTGCAGTAAGACTTTAGGTCAACCTTGGTGAGTTTGAGACCACAGCTGTCCCGAAGTTCCTTGGTGCAGACCTGAAGTTTGTTGAACATGTCGAGCTTGCAATGCCTCACTCAACAAGCAGCGTCACCTGCGGAGATGCTAAAAGAAGCTGCTGCAGAGAGGATGGATCTAGTCAGCATTTGCCTTGTTCAAGTTTGTGATTACAGTCAGTGACAAATTGGGGGTGCTGACTGCACGTTGCTTTTTCTCAAGGCATGTTGTTCTACCAACATGCAATTTGTGTATATATAATTAGCAGGATACTGCTGACTTGTGGCCTTCGGAAAGAGAGCATGGGTGCATGAAATCAAAACTGGGGATGTCCGATCCGAAGTCGGATTGGCCGAGAGATAGAAAGAATGGAAAGATGGTGGAACCACGGGACTTAGAGGAGCAAATCATGATTTCGAACCAGTTGCAGTCAGCGAAGGTGAACACCTTGATGAAATCAATTAGCCACTTGCAGAAGGAAAACCTCTCCCTGCAAAGGGGTAGCCGTGAAGCAAGCAGGACTAGCCAGTACAAAAAGATCCAGGATGAGCTTGGACAGCAAGACGTACTGATTGATGTTCTACAAGGTTGTATTGGTACTGCGAAGGCCCAGGAACTCATGATGAATGCTATAGAGTCTCTTGAATGTGACGATACGCGCTGCGCATCATGCAACTGTGACGAAGAACTGGTGAAGTGTGACGATGGATCTTGGCTTTGCAAGCACTGCTATGGTCAACGTATGTGGAAAGAGCCGCCTGACACGATCGAAAAGAGGAGCAAAACTTCCAAGATGACAAAGTATCCAGAGTCCAAAGAAAAGCTTCAAAAGGAGTGCCAGGCTGTGGAAAAGGAATTGATTTGCACCAGACGCTTGCTAAAGGCCAAAAATTCTCCCGTGAGCGTAGCATTGCCCAAATCAGCTTTATTCAACACATCCGCAGCTCTGGCAAACATACTGGCTGGTTATGTGCAGCGCGCAGACCAGCTTGAAAAAGAAAATGTATCCCTGCGAAATCATCGAGAACAGTTGGAGAATACTCTGGAAGAACAGGAGTACGAACACAGACAGCGAATTCAGCAACCCCAGGAATTTGAATGGGAAAACCAAGCCTCCGTGGCTTCTATTCAGGACTTGCAGACCAGACTTCGGCTACGAACCAGCGAGATTGACCGAGCCATGCAAGGTGTTGCTGAAACACGCCAGAAACTGCTGGATCAAAACAGCAAGCAGGAAGCACTAAGGACGAAAATTGATGCTGCAAAAAATGATATCAACATGCTGCAGGAAGAGATGGGCCAATGGTCTTCTGTGGAAAGAACTGAACATGCCAAGCAGCTTGACAAGTTGCAGCGCTCAAAAGAGTTGCGGAGACAGCACTTGCTACAAGGACGAGAGCAGCTGAAGGAAGCAAAAACCAAGCTGCGCAAGTCCCTCCAAAGCATCAGTGACCAGCGAAGTCCTTTGGAGGTTCAGACCAAGATCAAAGCGCAGGCAAGGAGGCTAAGTTTGTCACTGCGCAAAGCCTTGCAAACCGGCAGGAAAGCTGACTGGTCTGAATTTTGGTCACAGCTGGACACTGAACAAAGTGTTGGTTTGGAAGCTCCTGTCCAAGAGCTTTTAGACAAGTTTGGTATCCAGAATAGTGAGCAGAATGTGCCGAAGTTGCAAGAACTGAAAGAGGCCTTGTACCACATGGAGGTTGCAGGAGGAGACAGCAGGATATTTGGTCAATGGGCTGCCTCGAAGAAGAAGCTCCAAGATGAATTCCGAGCCGAGGCTTGAGGTTGTTTGCCACGTGAAGCTGTTGATGTGCAATCCTGTTCACATTCAAGAATACAACGGAAGAAATGGATTCAAAGAAAGCAAGAAGGCAACATCAAGAGACAAACACAGCAAGAACAGGCTTCATCGAAGCTGGCGGAGTTGCAAAAGCTCGAGACGCTCCTTTCTCAGCAAGAAGCCCAGGCCAGATAATTCTGCACCGTGCACTCGCAGTTTCATTGAGAAGCGTGTTTTAAGCAATTACAAGTGGTGGCTAGTATGTTGCGATAGGTGGGCAAGTTGCAGCAGGCTTGGGGGTTCTTCCGTTTTTCTATTATATAATGTCCGCCGAGCTGGAGCATTGGTCTGTTGATCTTGCTTTTAGATTTTCGAGTGATTCTGCGGTGGGTGTCAGATGCAGGAGCGCATTGTTGCCCGACATGATGTAGCGTGGAGCAAGACGCTTCAAGTGAGCTGTTCGGACTATTTAGATTGGAGGCCATCACTACTAGGTTGGAGGACATTGCTATTAGGTTTAGATGAGGTGCTTTCCATTCTTTTCATTTTAACAAAGTGGGGGTGCCAATCTGGCACTCTCCTCGGGAGACGTTCTACTATATATATATATATTTATGTTGCTTTTTAACCTGTTCTGTGACTTTGTGATCTTGTTCCGTGTGCCTTGGCAGCAGAAAAACAAGTGGGTTGCTCAATGAAGTCGTTCACACTTGCAAGATCTCAGGCTGCTGCGGAGCACTGCCAAGAAATGATGGCAGAGCCACAAGGTCTCTCTGTTTCAGCCGCTTTCTTTCAAGGAAGTGGTACCTTGTTTGAAAAAACTTCTTTGTTGCTTTCCAGGTTTGGCACCAGGAGCAGATCGGCTCCCTGTTCCAGCAAGGCACATGGCACACAATCGATCGCTGTCCGGTTTGCCTCAGCCATATTTTCCAGTTGTGCAACTGCAGTGTGTCAGATTCTTTCGGACAATTTTACCGGTCTCAAGGATACCCTGACTGCTTTGGGTTGTTTGCCTGGATCAGCTTTTTATTTCCGTTACTCCGCGTGGGGTCCTCTTGTTTATTTGTTGTCGCAGACGGCTTGTCCTTTCTGATTTGCATCTGAGGCTTTTTACCTTTTGCGTTGAACGTAAGGAGAGCACACAAAAATCCAATCATGAATGATGCTGGTCTCATCATATCTTCCAAAAAACTCGCCACAGAGCAGTCTGTGTGCTGAAAGCATCGTTCTGAGTTGCCTAGTTTCTGAAGAAACATGCAGACGCAGGCTGCTGGTCACAGCACCTGGTAGTTCTGCTGAAGAGGCTTGAACCATTTAGTCGCTTGGGGTAGTCATGAGGTACGGTATGAATGCAGAGTCAGGCACTGCTTTTTGAGGCACGGCAAGCAATTGCAGCAGCCAAGCAACAACATGCTTCCTGCTTAGTACCGACTCTTTTGAACCTGGAAGCTCATCATGCATCTCAGCTTTCGTGGAACAGACTTGGGGCGAGTATGTCAGATATTTTGCGTTATTTTGCAATGTTTAGGCCTGGGAGAAGCGCTTTCTCCCAATTGAAGAAAAGGACCTTCCAGCCATTCATTTGTCGTCGCTGGAACCTGATGGAGGCGCCACGGACAGTAGCAGAGGCAGATGCGGAGTTGGAAACACTGCCAGCGGAAAAACAGATTATTCTATTTGTTTGCTCGCTTTTCAATCTTTTCAAGACTTTTTGAGGTTTTTGGATTTTTTGGATTTTTGGATCCGTAAAGCTAAAGCCATGACGAGAAGGCCTCATTTCTAAGTTTAACGAAGCATAGGCACGGTCACCAACCAAACCTAGCATGCTGCTCTGAAATCTCCAAGATGAGATAAATTAGGATTATGGTCGTTGCATGTGGGCTGACCTTCCAGCCACCAGCACTTGGGGTTTTACATGGTACAACCATCTCTGGAATAGCTTTAGCATAGAGTGTTCGTTCTTTAAGAGGTTCGTTTTACGATAGAGGTTTGATATGTGCGGAGGGGCTTCCAGTTTCTAGGCCTTGCGGATTGGACAGAGAGCCTGAAGCTCCAGGCGTCGGCAGAGTTTTGCTGAAGAGTCTGCCAAGGTGTAAGGAGTAAAAGAGGTGAGCTCGAGTGAGCTCGACAGATCTGACAGGCTGAGCTTGGTCTCCAAGACGAACTCTCCACAGCCCGAGCCTTGAAACCGAACGGAACATCTTGAAACTCTGAGAGTACTGAGAACCCCGTTGTGATCGCAACCTTTCGCGCGGAACCCTGGAGCAAGGCCCAATAGCAACTTTTTGCATTCTGGAGCTGTCCCCTCATCCAGCCACCGTGCTTTGCTTGTTTAGCCATCCAGCGCGACTTGTTTCAGTCTGTTCAAGACCTACCTCAAATTGCCCGCGCCCGGGCGATTGGCGTTGTGGAGGCAGGACGTTCTGCTCGCAAAACCGCTCTGAATCTGGTTGTTGTGGCGGACAGGGATTCCAAGAAGGTATCTGCTGCCAAGAGATTCGAGCTTGTCGCTCCAAACTTTCCCATCAGCAGAATTGATTGCGTCAGCTCAACACCATCACTTACAAATCTCATTTTGGGTGTGGCCACGTTTTCTTCCATGGTCAGTAGCCTTACTTCTGACTTGTACTTTGCAAAATGTGGTCAATGCCAACAACTGCCGCTTTGCATTCTGGGATGCACCTGGACGGTTCCGGTGGGGCGCAAGCCCAACCCCCTGGACCGCAACGAAGGAAACACGCTGTCCCCAAGAGTAGCCAGGGATGTCCGCTCACTACCGGATGGAGCAGACGGGATGCTCTGACCTGACTAGCTTGGTGGCTGCTAAGACGAAGCGGCCTGAGAGACGGAAGAGGCGACGCGATCTCCTGGATGTGGAGCCGACGTTCTTGCTTAGGACTTCAATGCACCTTGCGCCACTATCGGATTTTTGACCTATCCGACCTTCCATGTCCAAAACCCTGCCGATCTGTGAAAACAACCTTTAACAATCTAAGGCTCAAAGCGTGGAGAACGATCACGCGCACACCAAATTGATAAGAAATGAACAGCGTCGCTCACTTGATTCAATGGAGATGCAGCAAAGCGTTTTTCCGGAACAACAGCACGTGTCCTGCTGGAAAAAGGCCTATACGCAACTATAACACTTCACCTCTACTTCACTAATCATTTTTGCGAGGCGCCTCATGAAGTTCTGGAAATGGAAGACTATGTTGACAAGTTGGATGCCGTCCACACCGAGTTGCAGGAGGATCGGCGTTGTGATTTTTTTCAACATTTGGTCGACCTGCGTTTCTTTGCCTTTGGAGCAACCATTCTTTGTGTGAGACTGTTGCTGATCTGAAGCTGCGCCTTCAAGCTGTTGCGAGCTTGGAAACTTGTCATAGTTAACGCTGCGAAGTGCTTTGTGGAGCCCAGGCCAGAGTTTTGCTCCGGCATCACGACCCCAAAGTAGCATGGCTTCAAATAGGGCGAGATACAAATACGTGTAGTGTTGCGAAATGTAAAATGCACGAAAACCACACAAACGGTCAGGGATGCACAAAAAACCTGAATCATTTGCAGGCAGGGTCCCGATTCTGTGAGCACTGCGTGGTTCTCAGAAAGTGTGCTGTAGCCTATTGCAAGTAGATCTGTTGCAATTCAGGTCCACATTGTTTTCTGTCCAACTAACGGGCCGCTGTAAATACGCATTAGCATGTCTCGCTGCGCTTGTTTCATTTGGCCAAAGTGTCAAAACAGAAACTCGGATCTTTCGTTGATTGCCTGGCCATCATGAGCGCCCGACTTTTGTTTTTGCACCTTCTAAGCACCTTCTAAGCTAGCAAGCAGAACAGACAAGCAGAACGTTATACTGTATACCAAGCACGTGATATACCATTGGCAAATCTCATTGAATTGTCGGCTCAAGTGAAGAACAACGATTTGGCTTGGAAAGGAATTCGATAGAGGACAGGGTGTTTAGTCTGTCTCAATGTCGTTGCTGGGAACAGCCTGCTGAACAGCTGCTTTCAAGGACTGAGAGTCTTTGCCAGGACCATGGGGAACACTCCCGGGGGCATGCCTGGTCAAGGTGGAAGACCCTAGAACTTCACGGCAAGAGTGATTGAAGAGAGCAGCATTTCTTCTTTTATATGATATGTTCAATGAACAATTCCGTCCTCATGATGCTCATGCACTTTGTTGGCAAGGCCAGGGCCAAGGCAAAGAGAAGAAAGATGGAGATGACAAGAAGAAGAAACACGAGGTGTCCTTAGGTGTATTTGTTGTGTGATGTTGTGTGTCCTTGCATGTTCGCACTCTCTCTCCCTCTCTCTCTCTAGGCGCTTGCTCCTCCATCTCACTTTGGTAGAAAGAAGAGAAAGATGAAGGGTGCACAGGCCTGAAGGTGTGCAGAAGACTTGTGCGTAAGCACTGTCTCGGCTGAAACAGGTTGCTAGCAAGCTGCCGTTGGTGGTGCCTACATCAAAGTGCGCTTTGCAACATGTTTGTCAACACGCTTGACAGCACGAGCGAAGCGGAGCACTGTCTGCTTTGCTTGACGGCCGAGTCACACCGTAAGACATTCTGTCTGTCAACCGGTTCATTGAAATCACTGGCTCAAACCATGGCGTGCCTGAGCAGGTGTCGACTTCGTCTGCTCAAGCATGATCGAGTCAAGGCCAAATGCTCACCTGTACGTATATACAATTATATACATCTATACAATGATATGACAATGATATGTACATCTATCAATCTATCTCTGTCTGTCTGTCTGTCTATCTATCTGTCTATTTGTCTATTTGTGTCTATTTGTCTGTATCTGTCTCTATCTGTTATCTGTCGCCATCTGTTATTTGTCTCTATCTGTTATCTGTCTCTATCTGTATTTGTCTCTATCTATCTCTCTATCTCTCTATCTCTCTCTATCTCTATCTATATCCATTCATCCATCGATCGATCCATCGATCGATCTATCCATCGATCGATCGATCGATCGACCGACCGATCGATCGATCTACCTATCTACCTATATCTATCTATAGTATTTTTCCTGACCCCTTTCCTTCTCATGAGGACTACCTCATGATGGAGGAGGAGTTTATCCAGGAGCCTAAGCCTCTGCAGTCTGCTGAGTCTACTGCGAATTGATAGTGAAGGGAGGGGAGGAAACAATGTACATGTGACATATCGCAGGAGCAGCAGCGGTTGAAGCCAAAAGAGGACAAAGAGTCAGATGAAAAGCTGGACCCTTACAAAAGTGCGTGAGTGCTTGAGCTGGACTCTTATTTTTGCACGTTCCTTTATCACGAGTTGCTCCGTGTAGAACAGGGCCTAGAGGATCTACGGCAATTGAGGTCAAAGCTGGACGACATTCGTGGCACTCCGATGGATGTTGGCTCCCTTGAAGAATTCATTGACGAGCTTGGCGCCCAAACTGCGATGTGTTTCTTTTGGTTAGCTACACCGAAGCTGAAGGAATCACTGCATAGTGTCCACCGCGATGGGACCAGAGTGCGGCAGCAGACGTTTGCTTGTATAGTGATTTCCTTGTTTCTATTTTTCAACTGACCTTGGTTTTCAGGTACTACGTGAACATTCTGTCTTTCGTTGACAAGGATGCAGTCACTTTTGAGATATCTTGCAAAGCCATGCATTACTTGCTGTTTGAAATTAGAAGGACCAGCTGGAACCTGGTTCCTCGATCCTGATGCACCACAAGAATCTGAGCAACTTGGCTTGGGGCAAGGACAATGAGAATCCAAAAACCGGGAGCAGTTGTACTAGAAGCCGCTTGCATGCCCAAGGTGTTATTGGATTGCTGGTGGACGAAGTGAATCCGCTTGTGAGTGTGATGAAGGTCGACAAGGCTAGACTAGAGCACGGCAAGAACACATCACTTACTTGACACGGTCCAGGCTTAGCAAGTTTGTTGTCTTTTGTTGAGACGGTCAGCATGTTGGCATTGTGACAGGCACCGACGGAGTCATATGCTGACATTGGAGGACTTGAAGATCAAATCATGGAGATTAAGGAGGTTTGGTCTATGTGCTGTCTTACTTTGATTGTCGTGCTTTGTGAATGCCGTGCATTCACTTGTGTTACTCAATCTTTTGGTCTGTATTGTCTCAGGCAGTTGAACTGCCTTTGACACACCCGGAGCTGTATGAGGCAAGTGTACAAATGTCTGAAGACGTTTCAAAAGGCCATTTTGTCCGACGAAGTTCGGTATATAGGAGGTCTCTGTTTGCCAGGACGTTGGCATCAAGCCGCCAAAGGGAGTCCCCAAGCAGCACTACTCTAATGATTGAAGTTTCTTCTGCGCTTGCAACGGAAGCTTAGGTTTCTCATTGATTTAGAGTTGAATTAAACAATTATGAATTATACTTCTGTCTGACCTCACCTTGAACACATATCCAAAGCGGCTCTTAGGTAATCCTCTATGGAGTACCGGGCACTGGAAAAACACTGCTTGCGAAGGCAACATGTTTTACATCAATTTGGCTTCATTCAATTGGACACATCTTGGGCATTCTTGGGCGCTATAGTTGCCATATTCTTTAGAGGCCGTTGCAAGTGAGACATCGGCAACATTTCTGCGAGTGGCCCGCAACCCTAGTCATAGAATGTCGTAGACTGGTACAGGCATTCTTTCCCCAAAGCAACCTGGGAGCACCGGTCAACTGAGGTGGGAAGTGAATTGATTCAGAAATACTTGGGAGAAGGACCTAAGCTGGTGCAGCCCTTGCTCGCTGTGCGTGGCAGCTTTTGATATGCGATAAGCATATTGTAGATGACATGTCTTTCATGTGTGACAGCCAGCTGACAGGTTCGAGAAATGTTTCGTGTTGCACAAGAGCACGCCCCCTCCATCATCTTCATCGACGAGATCGATGCAGTTGCCACCAAGAGGTTCCCCATTTGTTTGCCAGCCTACTCAGACAAAAATGAAGCGCTTGCGGAGCGAAGGTATGATACAACGAGCGGTGGCGAGAAAGAGATTCAGCGCACCATGCAACCTGCTTGGGTGATTAAAAAAGCAGTGATTGTTGTGTTTGTTCAATTTGTGGTCCTTTTGCCTGCAGCACTTTGAGCGGGACTGGGCATGTTTGCTGAGAAAGTCCGAAGTTGCATACAGTATTAGAAAGTAGCTGAGGTTGGAGTTGCTGAACCAGTTGGATGGCTTTGATGATCGAGGAGATGTGAAGGTCGGGATTGCTTGAGCAATCAGGAGCCAGCAAGTACTTGATAATTAACGCTCCAAGTTGCTTATTCCCATGCCTAGGTGATTATGGCAACAAATCGCATAGAATCTCTTGATCCTGCCATGATTCGTCCAGGCAGGGTGTGTCACCTGCATTCCCTGACACAAATGATATTTAAAACATTGCAGTTTCAACCAGTTGTTTTCTTATGAATGATGTCTGTAGGAACCTACGCGTTCATGGCAGCTTATAATTGATTCCTGGTGTTGGCAAGGACGCATTGACCGCAAGATTGAGTTTCCGCTTCCGGACGAGAAGACCAAGCGGCGAATCTTCCAGATCCACACGTGTGAAACCAAGGGTGCCAACTCAAACAATATTTAACACATGTGCACCCATTGAGTTCCTTCCATGATTCTCTTAGGTTTTGCCTAGGTTTTACTTGCTTTCACATGTCCTACTGCAGGGGCAAGATGACTTTGGCTGATGATGTGAACCTCGAGGAGTTTGTCGTGGCCAAGGCAACTTCTGCGATACAGACAGCTTTTGCATGTTTTTGCGGAATCTTATCAGCTTACATTTGTAGGCAGACATCGGGTAACTAGATCTGTGGGGAACCGACTGACAATTTCTTTTTGAGCAAGCCTGCTTTGTATTCTTAGAAGAAGCATGTACAAGCTGTAAGCTGCTTCGCAAACTGTTCAGGACGATCTCAGTGGCGCTGACATCAAGGAGTGAATGTTTGTCCTTTTCAAACTGATTGTGGAGCGTGCGGATATACACTCGGAAGGCCATTTGCACAGAAGCTGGGATGCTTGCGCTCCGTGAGCGGCGGATGAAAGTGACTCAGGCTGGACAGTGGACAATGGCACACTGCAGAAAGTTTCTTTTCTGTTCAACTTTGTTCCTGCGCTTCAGGCAGACATGAGAAAAGCCAAAGAAAAGGCACTCTACAAGAAGAAAGGTTCCTACCCTGAGGGAATGTATTTGTAGCGTGTTTGGCCCTGAGGGCGGAGTACAGTCTGTAGTTCTGAGCAGCATCGCTCTTTGGAACACTGCTTTCACACGCTTAGTTGTCCAAAGCCATGGCAAGCTCTCATGGCATCAAAAGTGCTTGCGCCGCTCTTGGCCCCAAGAAGAACATTGAAATTGCGTGTAGTAACAGTATAACTTTAACTAAACAAACTTACCTCCAATCCCAATGCATTCTCTCCAAAATGATGTCAGACAAGCCCACTCTTGCCCACCTTTCGATCTCAACATTGCCAGGCATACCACGCATGCTCATGTGCATACGAAGCGCACTCCAAGGGGTTGCTACACTCCGGCTATTGACACTTTGACATTCATATAGCTTGCTCAAGACGGTGGGTCCGCCTGTGCAGGGTGCCTTCCTTTCAGTCGGTTACTTGGATTTCACCATGGTGCCGTGGACTTGCTTTGCACATCACATGAACCTGACCTTCCCGACAGGAAGCAGCGAAGGTGCTGACATGGATGTGAACAGGTGAGTGAATTTCACTTGGACAAGGAGAAGTCACTCATATGCGAGACTGTTCAGGATCTTTTGCGCTGAGCAGATCACTGTGCCTCCTGCGCTACCCCAAATACTGAAGGAGAGCTAGCAGCCAGCATTGCTGGTGTCTCACACTGTATTCAAACTGTTAATGCAGGCTGGACTTCTGGCACACTTTACACATCCTTGGTACAGGAGGTTAAAGGTTTCAGGAGGTAGTATATAGCTTGTCAGGACTTCACCAAAGCTGTAATCCGAGAAGATCCTTCAGCAGGTGAGACCGACCCGGCTTGGGACCAAGCAAACCGAAAGCATGCCCTGTTTCCCAGCAGCTCCGATGCTTAGGCAAGTGCGAGGATGAAGCTCTATCAGTGGTCAAGAGACTATTTCAAGACCAAGCTGGGAGAGGCGCATACAAGATCATACAAGCGCAACTGCTCATCTAAAGCTTCTTGCTAAACAGTTTTGGAGCTTTCGACCGTTTCGGTGTTATAGAGCGAGCAGCGTCTCGGCGCCTCGTTCCAGCTTTGGCTTACCAACTTAGCCAATTCTCTTGTTTACATATGAGCTTCTTTTTTCGTTGACAAATAAACTTACTCTCGATACTTGGGGTCACTGCAGACCCGACCAGGCACAAAAGAGCGGCTAAGCAGCTAACTGTGTAGGCTTGGTGCTTGGAAAGTCCTGGTCATGCGGTACGCCCAAAACATTGACTGCACCGATACATTTTGCTTGAACAAGGCACATGTCAGCTTGAATGAGCTCGTCCGTGTCACGTTTCACTCTGATTGCAAGTGGAACTGCCAGCGCTGCAAAAGGTCAGGAGGGCTTCTCAGCACTGAGCATTTCGCCATGTCAGACCTGTAAGTTTCCCTAAACATCCAGGAACCAAATGAAAGAGAGCGAGTGCTATCCTGCGTCCTGTCGGTAGTAGCTACTTGCAGCTAGTAGCTACCGTTTGCTTCTACTAGCTACCTACCTCGCTACTACCTCCCTCTACGGCCTACCCACTGATTTTTCTCGTCGCTTGTTTTGTCTTTGGGCTCAGATTAGGGTTGAGCTTTCGGGCTTTCGGAGTTCCCATGACTTGACTCTATGACGCTGCGGCAAAGCTGCAGTCTTTTCCACCAAAAATTGGTGCTCAGCCTACCCGAACTGCGTGTCGCAAGTGAAGCTCAGTGATATGAATTCTGTCAGGTGCATAGAGCTCAGTGATGGCGGGAACATTGTTCAGATCTTTCCATGATCTTGTTCGCGAAATTGAACAGGACGGTGCAGATCCATGATCTGTGTGCATCACAATGTTAGAACACTGCTCCTGCTATATCTACATCTTGCATACAATCTTGTATACAATCTTGATTTTTTGCTGAAGGAGTATGAAGACGAGCTTGCAAGGCTCAGACAAGAGAATCTTTGGATGCGTCATCGTCTTGGATTTGCGCAGGACCTTGTTTTGGCTTGACAACTAGACTAGAATACAGAAAAACACGTGCAAGGTCATTTGGAGACAGAACCTTAAGATTCAGCTCTGCTGGTTGGTTCTATGCTTTTCCACAACTTGAGATTGTAACTGGTACCCCTGCGCAACTGACTGCATTCTATATTTCCAGGAGAACGAACCGTGCAAAGAACCGGAACAATCCCCAATCAATACGCAACAGACGCCAGGTTGTCCGTGTAAAGATCAGGAACGCATAGGTGTGCACCTTGATGATTTTGAATGTGGGTTCCACCAGAAACACTTCCCACTGATCCCAATGAGTCCCCAATGAGTGCACCAGGACGCTACTAGGGGCTCCTGGCATCGCTACTAGGAGCAAGGGCCTTACTACTAGGAACAAGAAGCTAGTAGAAACAATAAATACATAGAATTTAATTGGACTTAGAAGCTTTTAAGCTACTAGGAACAAGTGCATCGCTACTAGTAACAAGTGCCTTACTAGTAGTAACAAGAAGCTATTGGAATCTAGTTAGAATTAAGTGTAATTAGAATCTGATCCCAATGAGTCCCCACGTTGCGGCAAAAGAAGGCAACACTGAGATCACCCGCACGGTTGAGGAACCTTCTGGCACTAAACCACATACAATGCATCACATGCTTCCTAACGACATTTAATCTTCTGAAGGGTTTGCCCACCTGCCTCAAAGTAGGGCATGCCAGATCACCTTCTGTGTTTAATTTGTCAATGGCTTATAAAAAGTAGTGAGGGGTAGTGATGTGAATCAAGTGTAGTTGTTCGTAGTAGGAAGGGACCGTGCTCTTGTAGTGTGGTTTCAACAAGCTGCTTGTCCCTATGGGTGAGATGTGGGCAATGTACGCAGAGGAGATTTACTTGTGGATATAGTGCTCAGTTAACCTGGAAACCCTACGGTCAGTGAAGTCAGAGTGAACGTGAATCTGTAGCAGCTCTGGGCATTGTGCATTTTTTTTCTCTCAGTGTTACTGTTTTCTCCGGGTGCACTCTCGCTATTTCTATGCTCTCCTAGTTGTTGGACCAGCCGTGACGGTTCAGGCGTGCGCAAGCCCCGACAAGTAGCCGTTCCCCCACCACAAGCCCTAGGCCGCCATGCACAACAAAAGAAAGGACGTAGTGAAGAAAGAGAGGCAAAGGAGGAAGATGACATCGCCCCCCAAAACCTCGACATCGACATGAACACAGCAGCAATCATTGACAAGGGAGACAAGATCCAAGACGTCATTGAAGACATTCGAGACCTCAAGGATCAAATGAATTGCTCGAGAAACCAGGTTTCCTACCTGCTTTGCCACGAAGTAGACAAACAACGAACAGAAGCAGCTGGAACATTTATTTGCAAGAACTTTTGGCAGTACATGGAGTCAGAGGGAAGCTACGAGCTTCTATGCGAACACAGGGAGAATATGATCACCTGGATGGCAAAAGAAGCAGGCATTTCCCCGAAGGACCTGAACACGTTCCACTTGGAACACCGCCGTGGCAAAGCCCTCTCTCCTCTCACCATGGTGAACACCGGCAACTTTCACAAACAAGATGGAACCCACGAACCCGAATGCAAACACGTTCGAAAATCTAATATGTCCAAATGACACTCTTGTAGGACACTCTTGCGGGACACTCTGTAGGACACTCTTGTGAGACACTCTTGTGGGTCACTCTTGTAGGAAACTCTTGTGGGACACTCTTGTAGAACACTTGTGTGGGTCACTTGCAGGACACTCTTGTGTGACACTCTTGTGGGTCACTTGCAGGACACTCTTGTGGGACACTCTTACACGACACTCTTGTAGGACACTCTTGTAGGACACTCTTGTGGGTCACTCTTGTAGGAAACTCTTGTGGGACACTCTTGTAGGACACTCTTGTGGGACACTCTTGTGGGACACTCTTATAGGACACTCTTGTGGAACACTCTTGTGGGACCCTCTTGTAGGACACTCTTGTGGGACACTCTTGTAGGACACTCTTGTGGGACACTCTTGTGAGACACTCTTGTGGGCCACTCTTGTGGGACACTCTTGTAGGACACTCTTGTGGGACACTCTTGTAGGACACTCTTGTGGGATACTCCTGTAGGACACTCTTAAGGGACACTCTTGTGAGACACTCTAGTGGGACACTGTTGTGGGACAGTCTTGTAGGACACTCT